GTGCTGCCAGGCTGGCACCAGGGGTGCCTGCTGTCGTGTTCTGGACCCGGGAGCACGTACGGCTGAGTGCCATCTTTGTGTGCCTGGCTGGGACGCTGGATTTCATCATTCCTGCTGCTCTCTGCCTTGACACGCAGGCGCGCGGTAGTTGACGGGACTTGCCCAGAGATCCTCCTGTGGAAACACGCACAGGAGATCTTTGCAGAGAAGAAAGCTCTTCCCTGCTCTGGAAAGTTGCACTGGCTCTTCTTAGCCAAGTCTGAGTTTGCTTCCTTAGAGAAAGGCCACTTGTTTAATGCTTCCTTTAATGAGGATATTGGTAAATAAGCAATCAGGTAAGTGGGATTCGTCCTAACTCCTAAATACCTTCTTAACTGGAGTCGAGTACTGCACAACAGTTACTTGAGCTTTCTGCATGCTGGGGCTCAGTGGCATTAATATGCTGCTGGTGATTAATTACCACAGCCCAGTGATGTGATTGTGTGCTTGAGCAATTGGATTAGACGCAGCTGGAGGGAGACTTCACTTTCACTGGTTCTTGCCGAAGTGGTGCCGTAATCGGCCACAGAGGAAGAGTGATTTCTAGGGCAGCCACGCTGGGATGCTTCCCCTGGCCCTATGCTCCTGGTTCTGCAGTGGGCTGAAGGAAAGGTGTCTGGGAAAATGCGTGCCTGGGAGTAGCTACTTTGTCCTGCCTTCAGTCCTTCCCTTCAGTCCCATCTTGTGCCTGCACTGCTCAGCATTCCTGGATAATGAAGGTACAGCATGTCCTTACCATGTCAGCAGACCTTGTAGCTGCACGGAGAAGGAGCAAGCTCCAGCATTGCCTTGACAAGTCAGCATCATATCAAGTGCAGGATCATATCAACATCACCAAGCAGGCCCAGTTCCATGGCTCTGCGATGGGGGGTTTGGCACTGGAGATCAGGAATCAACCTTGGCACATGCACTGAGCACTAGGACTGTAGCAGATGTTGATACTGACTTTGATGTTTCATCCAAAGCTCTGGAGGCTCGAACTTGAGACCAAAAGAGCTCTCACAGAAGTAGGAGAATAAAGAGAAAGTCAGTTCTTTCAGAAGATCAGATGGAACAAAACATCCTGAAATTCAGGACTAACCTGAACCTTTGTGTTTGTTCTGAGAAACTGGGCAGTGCAGATCCTACTGAAAGGAGGAGCACAGTGCCATGTAGAGAAGCTGGGGTGGTCTAGCCTTCCACTGTAACTGGAAAGTGCTGTCTAAGTCAGTCAGCTCTATGGCCTGATGCTTCTCAGAGATCAGCAGAAAAGTGCCTGCAGAATTCCATCTGTGTTTGGGTTTTGGCCCTATTTTGTGGGAAACTTGTGTGAAATGTTGAGTTTTTTGCTTCCAGAGAGCTAAAGCTTTGTGCCTCTGGACAATGGTCCAGAACACAGACTTTTTCCACATAAAACTAGGATGATCTCTTAAACAAAGTTGTCAGGGTTGTGCCCTTGGTAGTGCCATGGGAGATGGTGTGGGCTCTCGAACTTGGCAGAGGCACCAGGCAGGTCCCCAGCCCTTGTTCCAGCTTTGCAGCAGGTAACATTCACTCTGTTCTGCAGCTGCATCCAGACCCACAGTGCTGGTGGCCAGTGGACTTGCAGAGCAGCACTACTGGATTTAGGCAGTGGGCCTCCTATCCCAAAAAGCATTCTGCCTTGCAGTGAAAGTCCATGTGGATCTCAGCACTGCAGGGCAGTGCCTTGTACAGCTCTACGGATATCTGGAACCACCCTGCCTTTCCTCCTCAGCACACACTGTGAGAGGCTGGCAGTGTTTCAGCTTCTGTCCATTGTGTGGTGAGGCGGAGCTGTGTTAAGAGATTTTTATTTTTTTTTGGTGGTGCAAGTTTGTTCTCACCTCTTCTGTTTGTTCTTTGTTATCAGCTACTGAATTCTTCCTATACCTCCTCCATCCTCCACTTCCATATGTTGAGCCAGTTCTTCTGTAGTTCCCCTTAAAAAGAAAACTTGAATTTTGCAACCTGCAAGTGTCACATGAGCACTTAATGGCCAGTTGCTGGGCTGAGGGGCATGTGTTGGACAGTGTTTGTTGCCTGCTCTGATAAGCGTTTCTGAAATAGGTGATGACTTCATCTTCCTCTTCTGCTCACCACGGATATCAAGAACCAGCTCCTTTCTGCCCAAATACTCCTCTCCATCCAACAAAAACACCCCAGGCCAGATCACGTCATTTGACTGAGCAACACAGAGCTGCACCACACTCACACAGAGCTCCAGAGCAGTGTGACAGGGCAAGGGCAGGGGCTGGGACTGGCCTGAAGATGTGGTGCTGAACCTCTCTGGGCATCTTTACAGCTCCATATGGTTGTGGGCCGGGTCTCTGTGTGTCTGGGGTGCTTCTTCTCTGCTCGGGTGCGGCTGCTCAGAGCAGCAGTGAGAGGCAGCCATGTTTCCCTGATAGCATCTCAACCCTGCAGCAGCCATGAGGCTGCTGCCACATTCCTCTCCTGGCTTCAAGACTCTGATCCTGCCTGTACTTGCCGTACATATCAGGACTTTCCAAGGAACAGGCTTTGGGAGAAGTAGCTCGTGGACAAAGCGTCATCACTGCATTGGCCATCCCGGGGTTGAATGGAGGGTGAAGGTTCTTTCTGCTTTTTAAGGCACAATGTGGGGATGGAAGTACCCTGATTCCTGCTGTGATGATCAGTTGCCTCCTTAGGACCTCTTGCACGTGTGCTCCATCTATGTAGCTCCTTCACATGCCCTGTTGGATATTCTCTGCCAGACATGTACTGGTCATTTGCCTGCTGACGTCACTCTAGGTTCATCCAAAGCAAACTGATGTGTGTCAGATCCTCCTTTGACCACACAGGGAGCTTGTAGGAGAGATGTGCCCTGTAGGGAGTGTGACTTGTCCTTACCCTCCAGCTACTTCATGATGAGAACCTGTGGAGAGGCAGCTCAAGCACCTCACTCTGGATGAATACCACCACATACTGGTGGGTTTTCACCCAGAGGGTGATTGAGTACTGGAACAGGCTCCCCAGGGAAGTGGTTGCAGCACCAAGCCTGTCTTGAGTTCAAGAAGGATTTGGACAACGCTCTCAGGTACATGGTGTGATTCTTGGGATGTCCTGCACAGGGCCAGAGGTTGCACTTGATGATCCCAATGGGTCCCTTCCAACTCAGCATATACTATGTATGATTCTGTACTCAGTTGCCTTTGGGACAGCCTGGCCTTGGCTTCCCTGTTGTTTTGTCTGGTGTATTCCCATCCCAGTCAGCTCAGACAGTTGGAAGCACAAGGGCAGCAGGGAGTGGGCTTTCTTGTGGTGCTGGCCATCACACCAACCACCCTCCCATCTGCCTTGTGGTTCCCAGCAGTGTTATTCTGCCTCTGCTGTCTCTTCTGCCTTTTCACTCGAGGCAGGTTTTCCACAACTGACAGCAGTCAGGTCAGATATCTGCCTCGTGGATGCTGTAGCCAGAGGTTACATTTGGCTCATAATTCCTACTACCCACAGCCTCTTTGCCAACTCCAGCAGTGCCCTGGGCCCGTTACCTCGGGCTGGGAGGTGTCAGCCCCTCTGCATGTGGGGTTTGTTGTGAAAGGCCCATTGAGGGATGCAGGTCCTTGCAGGCTGCCCCTCAGCTTCTCTAGAGTGCAGGCTTTAGGATGAGCAACCACATCTTATCTCTCCTATTATTCCTAGAGCCTGCTGTGGTAGCCTTGGGCTCAGGGGCTTGCATGGGCAAACCCTCTGCCTGCTTCTGCAAGCCCATGGGGGCAATACACCCTGTCTGGCCACAGCACAGCAGGTCAGCTGAATCCTGTCATGTTGCTCTAGGAGCTCTGCAAGGGCGAGAAGCAGTGGGATTTCCCTTCCCACACGGTCTGGCTCCGGGGTCTCTTGGGACAGCCTGATGTGCATCACACAGCAGAGACAAAACAGGCTAAAATAAATCATAGAGCCCTGGGAGCCAGTGGTTAGAAGTTGGGCTGGGTTTGCTCTGGGAATTTGGAGCCACTTCTCTCTCCAGCCTAGAAAAAAGGAGTTGGTTCAAGGCATGAGTGCCTGGCCTGTGAGAACCCAGTCCTGTGTGCTCCTGGGACTAACACCTACTTGTCCATGTGTCTGTCCACCTGTCCTTTATAACCCACCGTCCCCCTTGGTACAGCAGATTGGTTACTGAGGGCTGTGCTGGCTGCAAACTAGAATGCCAGAGTGGACAGTACAGCTTCCTTGGGGTCCCAAACAATTCTGTCCTGTTCCATGAATCCATTGGTCTCCTGCAAGCAGGGTGTGAGGAGGAACATGGTGGCACAGATCTGTGACTGTGTGCTGTGGCTGAACATGGTCTGGAGGGAGAAGCAGCTAGGGAAGGGAAGGAAATAATGCACCAAAGGAACAGAGGAGCGAAAAGATCTGTGATCCAGGGGAGCAGAGAGAGTGGGGGGGAGCAAGTGAAAGAAAAACAACAGAGGGAGAGCTGGAGATGTGTCTTGGCAGAGTGAGGGGACAGACGAGCTGTGCGAGCAGGAGGGAGCTGGATGGCAGCATGGAACAAGGTGTGTGCACAGCTCATTCCAGTCTTATTTGGGGGTGTGTACTGCTGGCCCCCCGATCAACTCTAAACATTAATACCAAAAGCTGGACCTGAGAGGAGACCTGGCTTGAAAACCAGGCTTGTGGGTCAGAGGAGCAGAAACATCTGTCATGCATCAATCCATCAGGATGACAGCTTTGGAGTTCCGGGGTTTTCTTGGGACCTTCCTACTGGGTAACTGGCATTTAAATCCACTGATGTCCCAGCCTGACTTCATCTTGCCTTGAGAGGTCAGCTCTTAGCACTGTGCTCAATCTCAGCTTCATTTGTATCTGCCCTGTCTCCCTACCTGTGGCTGTCTCAGGATGCTGTGGCTCCAGAACAGCAGGAACACAGCTATGTGTGTGGAAAAGCAGGAGGATCTTGTTTCTCTGGAGATGCTGTACATCAGAGGAGGAGCTGAGAAACCCTTCCTCTCTTTAATGGCAGTGGCAGCTTGCAGTTAAATCAAAAGCTGAGGCACAGACGGTCGCGTGGCCAGTATCCTCTGCCCATTGCAAAGTCTGTGTGTGTTGGATGGATGGCTTGGGTACCATAATTAATGTGCTGATTGGGTTTCCCATGTCTAACCAGGTTCCCAGGACTCCTAGAATGAGGCTGCTGTGAAGGACTGGTGGATCCCCTGCCTGCGCTGCCGTGCCTGCAGATTCCCTGCGATCCCCTTTCTGGCTGGAGCACCGTTACCGAGGCTCCTGGGAAGAATGACTGTTGGATGCCTACTGCAACCCCCTTTCCTGGGGAGGACTTGGCTCCCCATGCTGCTGCTGGCAGCCTCTGCCCACTGCCACTGGCCCAGCGAGCCGGCAGAAGTGGTTCGGGACTGGGAAAACCAACTGGAGGCCTCCATGCACTCCGTGCTCTCGGACCTCCGGGAGACTGTGCCGGCTGTGGTGGGCATCCCGGACAGCTCTGCGGTGGTGGGACGCTACTTCAGAGTCTCCATCCCCACAGATTTAATTGCTTCCAATGGAGAAGTTGTCCAGGTGAGAAACGCCATTCCCTGAGGGCTCATTTTCAGTTATATTCATGCAGGAGTCAAGTGAGTCACCCCATTATCGACCTGGGTCATGAGGGTGGCTGAGAAGCAACCTTAATGTTTTGTAGGACTATGGGAGGATTTTTATTAAAAAATAAAAGTCTCACCTTATTGCAAAGTTCCTTTCTCTGTAACAAAGAGAGGAAAGTTCTCAGGGATGACTAATCAGGTCTGTTGGCTGTATTTAAACTCAGATGCTCTGCCTGTGGAATGATGGGCACATCTGTGAGGAGATGTTGCCTCAGGATCCAGGGAGCTGCAGATTCCCTGGGATTGCTGCTCAGGCTTGGGGAGTTTGCTTCACTGTGGTAACAAAACATGGCCAGACAAACAGACTCTGTCCTGCCAACGGGGCTCTGGGCTGCCTGTGACACAGTCTCTCCTGACCTTGTCCCTAAGTCCTCTTGGGAAAGATGGGAGCCTTTCCCCCTTATCTGACTTAAACCTCACGCTGCTGGCACTGCAGGCACCTGAAAACTGAGTTTTGGAATCAGTCCTGAGTGCAGGAGTGTGTTAGAATAGCCCAGAGGAGGGTAGGGATGTGTCTGAACACAGGTGTGCTCATTGTTAGTCCTGTCCTGGGAGGGTTTGTTTGGATCATGTGGAGTTCAGAAAATTCTGTTCTTAAAAAACAGAATTACCTTCCAAAGAGCAAAATTGAAAATAAGTTTTAAATATCCATTTTTAGAAGCATTATAACAGGACAAGCTTCTGGAGTGTCTTGGAAGATCAGAGGGAGATGGAGAGCAAGTCAGGAGCAAGTCTGACAGCTCAGCCTCTGCTTGAAGGCAGGTTTGGTTTAACTCTGTGTGCTGTCACACAGTTATCCCAATCCTGGTATGTGGTCCTGCTGGCTCTAGCGAGGGTGCTGGGTGGGCAGAAAATCCAAAGAATGCAGCTGTTACTGACAGAGAGTCAGACAGGGAGGAGGAAGGCGTGGAAGGAGTTGGGGAAGGGGCTGGGCTGGTCTCAGTGACGCTGAGTTGACCATGGCCGAGGTCTCTGCCCGGCTTTACCCGCAGCCTGTTCGGAGCACAGGGCACCTGGACAGCACTGGGCTGCCAGAGCCCAGGCAGGTGTGGTGAGCCCAAGATCTCGTGTTACAGAAATGATAACTTTGGTTTGGGATTTTGCATCCAAGTGGCTTGTTCTAATGTTGTCTAATAGCTGCTTTGATGGCAGGAATAATTGTCAGTGTTTGTGTAACACCACAGCTTCCTCTGTCGTCTTTTCCTGGCACAAAAATCATCTCTGATAGCTCCAGTGGATGCAGGAAAATCCTGATGGATTATTTCCACCCCACCTGATGGCTTCAAACGATACTTCTGCCGTGTTGGTGTGAGGTGTGCTGGATAACACCAACATGCCTGGAGAGCCTAGAATGGACTGGGCTGGATCAGGACCAGCAGCTGCTGGTTGTGTGTAGTTCAGCATACTCTGGGAGCGATTTTCATGCTCGTTCCTGGGCTTACCCATGTGCATCTTGCATCTGTTCACCTTGAAATCGATTTTAAAAGTGCAGCAGGTTCTCACTTAGCTGCTGTCTCTGGAAGGGCTCTCCTTGCAGGGAATGCATGTTGGCTGCTGAGCACAGCTGACCTTTGCTGCAGGGATTTGATTCCTGGCTAGTGAGAACTGCGTAGGCAATTTTGGGTGCTGAGGTGCATTTTTGTTTTACTGGAAAGTTTCACGGCAAATTGCTCTGGTCTTTTTCTCAGGCTGCTTTGCCTTTCTCAGCTGGAGCAGTGAAAGCACAGTACTTCTGGATCTTGCTGATGTGCTTAAACCCTGCTAAAAAATAATAAGGGCTGTGCCCTCTGAGATGGGTCAGGCTTTACAATGAGATGTGGTTGCCTATACTTTTTCCCCTTAAATTTCGAAGAAATTTGCTATAATTTTATTTAAAAGAAGATGCTGAGAGTTGATGTCCCCAGACTCCCAGGAGCTTCCCCCTGGAGCCTGGAGAAGGTGTGATTTGCTTCATTTCTAGATGATTCCCGTTGATAGTTTCTAGGATTGTGGTGGCGATCGGCTTGAAACTCCTTCTGAGATCCTCTTGCTGCTTGTAAGCAGATTCCAGCCATCTGTAGACAAAATACTTTTCTCTGCAAACTTGGTTGTGGGATGGAAACAACGCCAGGCATGTGCAGCGTGGTGGAGGAGTGCCCCGCAGGCACGCACTCCTGCACAGTCAGGTATGTGCTCCTGGGAGCCATCACCAGTGTTTCCCTTCCACCCCCAAAGCTGCTGGGAGAACAGGTGAGATTTTATGGTTAAGGAGAAAAGAAAGTTTATTCTGACGTGCTCGAGCTGCACAGAAAAGAAGTAGAAAAACTACCGTGTGTCTTAATTTTGGAGTCTCACGTTGCTGAGAGCCAGCTGCCAGCAAGGTGTTGTGGCCATGGTAACTCCCTTCCCCTGTGCCTTGTGTTCCCAAGTTGGTGCCTTGGTCAGGCATTATCGTGTCCTCTGAAGGGCAGCTGCAGCTTGCAGGTATTCCAGCTGTTGAATTTGGCAGCAGCTCAGTCCAGATGTTGTCCTCAAGCTTCCTCACTACAGCAAGGCTTCTTGCCGCAAGATTGCTCTCCGGCTGTCTGAAGGTGTCTAGGAAATTAAAACTCCTTGCTGTGCCTTCCCAAAAGGCACCTTGCAGCCCTTTCTGCCATGTTTGACACCAAAACATTGGCATTTTTGAGAGGTTTGGGTTAAAACACCCTATTTCCCTGTGTCATACGGCCCCCTTGCCATGCAGATGGGTAGTGTCAGGGTGTGCAGGTTCCCACTGTCTCCTGGCAGATGCTGGTTGGGACAGGATAACCATGGGCATTGGTGCTGGTACCCTCACCAGTCATCAGCTCCTTACCCCATTTGCACTGAGGACTGTGTGGAGTCTGACCTGTTACCTCTCAGCTGTGTCCTGTCAAAGAACAGATCATGCTCAGGTCAAAGACCAGCTGGATTTCCTGTTCCTTCCACTTCTATTTGAAGCTACTCCAGAACTTGGCTGCTCTGATTAAAAATGCAGCTTCTAGCCTAAATTTAGGGGTGGCTAGAAATATTTATGTGTGCTGCCCTTTAGCTTAAATCGGTTCTACCTTCATAATATTTACTTCCTTTATGTATTTATAGGTGACAGGCATACTCCCTATCTTGATTTTATTAGGTTAAACAAGCCAACCTCTTTAGTTTTTTCTCATAAAATAAGCTTTCTTTCCCTCCCCTCAGCTTTGCAGCTGTCTTCTGCACCTCCTAGAGCTTGAGTTTATTTTTCTTTGTTTGCATGACCACAGCTATACAAAACACTCTAGATGAAATTTTACCAGAACCTCCTATAAAAGCATCGAAACTTCCTTTTCTCTTCTATAAATAACCTTGTTTGATATATCCTCCGATCATCTGCTTTGCTTTGGTTTGGACATCTGCCCATCAGCTGAAATATCCAGGTCTGTAGTTTTTGCTGCTTCCCCTTGTTGAGGTCCTAGAAGAGGATGTCAGGCAAGGTGCATGATTTGGGATGGGGGCTGTTGCAGTAAGCCTGGCTGTCCTCTCATCCCGCCAGCCGAGAGACAATATCCTCACAAGGATACAATACCCGCAAGGAGTCGAGCCCTTGCATAGTCTCTGATATCCTAAATGCATATGCCCACAGTACATAAAGACATGCAATTAAATGGCTTTTATTTAAAGATGGATCTGTAAAGTATGCTGGAAGGAGAGAAGCTCCTGCTGTGCACTGCTTCCCAAGACGCATCCCTGCCAGAGCAGATTTGCTGTGTCTTCCTCGAGGATCATGTAAAGCTGCTGACCTGTCTTCAGGCTGGTGGTGTTTGGTGTGGGGCGGATCCCACGGAGCGGGTCTGCTGTGGGTTCATAGCTGATGCCAAGGAGTTCAGGTGAGCACAGGCTCACCATTCCCAGCTGTGTCTTGGCCCCTGATTAGTTTGGGATTTGAAGTGCACGGTCTCACCAGCGCTTTGTTGGGAAAACACGTAAAACACGTAGCAGAGGCCCCAAGAACCTCTTGCTGTGAGCAAACATAGCTGCTGGCAAAGTGATTAGAACAACTGAATTCACTCACTCAGCTGACACAGGGCAGCTATGGAGCAGGTTTGGAGGTTATCAGAGTACTGGATATCCATCTGGGAAAAAAGGAATCTTGCTCTCATTGAATGTTTAGGTTGGAAAAGACCTTTTAGGTCATTGAGTCCAACCATTAACCCAGCACTGCCAAGTCCACCACTAAACTTTCCAAGCAGGAGCCTAATTTTCCAATGGTTGTTCTGTATGCTGTCTGTTGAAGTGGCTTTTATCAAACATCTCTGCTCTCATCAGACGTCAGGGACCTTGATTTATAAACAGGATCCACAGGGATTGGGTTGCAGGAGTCCTGACATGGGTATCTGCTGTCGGGGCTGTGCAGTTCACCTCAACCCTGCTCTGACCCCAAAGTGAAGGGCTGGATGTTGGCAGCCAGCCTGCAGTGCCAGGACACACTTGCTTTCAGGGAAGAAAACCACAAAATACTGATTTTTTTTTTTTCTTTCCTCTTGCAGTGATCTTTATTTCAAAGCACTTTAACTGAATGTGAAATTTATTAAAGTGGCATTTCTCAAAGGAAGAGGAGAAGCAAAGAGCGCTCCCGAGGGGCTGTGTCATTAAGTTGGGTATCTTAAAAGGCTCTCTGTGTCAAAGCATTTGAGCTTCACCTCATCCCTGGGGTCCCTGGTTTTCTTGGACTAACTGGGGGTTGTAGCAACAGCCGCTATTTACAGGGGAGCACACAGGGATAAATGACAGTGCCTGGAACAGGTCCAGGCAAAGGAGGACTTGGGCAGGGCTTTGCTTAGCTGCCACACTGCAATCTGAGCAATGAGATGAGCTGATAAGATTTCTGTGGGGAGGCTTAGGGGGATGCTTATCTTTTTCCTGCAGTGAGACAGAGTCAGG